TTAAAAACTTGGGCTTGAACTTTCAGGAATAAGGCTCGAGCTTTCAGGAACAGGGCCCGAGCCCTAACATCTATATTTAGCCAAATTACTTCAAATTTTTTCCAAAACGTCTTTTTCATCAACACTTAGAATATTTTTGGATTAATTTCTTCTTTAACAGTGCTCGATCCTTTCTTCATGGTGCTCGAGCCCTAGGTCTTGGGCTCGAGCTTCTTGCGTGTAGGCTCGAGCTTTTTGGCTGTAGGCTCGAGCTCCTTGGAAAACTGCTCGATCCCTTGAGTTCTGGCACGAGGTCCTGGAAGCTTAGTTTTTTTTTTTAAATAACTTTTCACATTCCGACACCTAATGTGCTCGAGCTCTTAGGCAAAGGCTAGAGCACTCTGAGATTAGGCTCAAGCTCTGGAGATCAGGGCTCGAGCTTTACTGCCTTAATGGATTTTCTTGTTTCTTTCTGCTATGCTTGACTTATATAACTGAGGCTTGAGCCTTGGCACTTGAATGCTTCTAATTTTCACCATTTTGACTCTCGGCTTGCTTCGGATGATCGACAACGACTCTCTATGCTTCGATATCAGTCTTTTCATTTTAAAGTCCCGATTTTAACCATTTCCTTGGGAAAGTACCTACAAACACGAAATAAACATAAATCAATTTAAAATAAAAGTATCACTTAAGGACTTAACATACGTATATTTAGGAGATCGAATATGCAATATTTAGCGCTCATCAGGGTATAATAGTTTTGTTATTTTTATATTATTATTATTATTATTATTATTACTACTACTACTAATTGCAAAAAAAAATAATAATAATAAATAAATAAAATCCAACCCTGAATTTTTGGTTAGTTGCAAGATGGTCCCTGAAGGGTATTATGGGTATAATAGATTTTTATATATTTTATAATAACTTTTATATAGATAAATAAGTGTGGGTATTTTGATAATTTTGACCATCTGAATGCTAAAAAATATGGTCCGGTGATTGGGATGGGCTTATTTGTAATCTTTTGTATAGTTGAGGGTTTGATTTACGACCCGAGATAGTCCAGTGAGTTACTTTTCACTTTCTTGATAGTTCAGGAGGTATTTTTTTTACACTTTTGCCTAAATTTTTTGTACTAAAAAAATAAAATTTATTTTATGAGTAACAAACAAAACAATCCATAAGTGGCACTTTTTAATCTTATTACATTTTCTTTTTGGGTTAATGTAATTTTTGTTGAAACATGGACTTGAAAGACTTCAAGTGCATAAAACTAGACTGGTTTAATGTAACGGGCGGACGCTTGCTCATTTACACAAAAGCTTAAGTGATTATATAGTGCTGCATACCCACCTATTTATATTCATTTCACTTCTCAACCAGATCCAATGTGGAAAAAGTATCCCTTGTAACATTATCCTCCATCTGAACTCGTAACACCCTCGTTGCGGTTGGGTCACTATGCCTACCCGGGTAACTCACCCAAACGCCCTGAGTTTGTCTCTAATACTAACTGTAATAGGTGAGCGATTGCCCATTTACGCGAAAACTTAGAACTCATTTAGGATTACTTCTCTACTGCTTAAAATCTCTTTTATTTTGAAAAATTGCGTTTAGATGTGTTTGGTAACCATTATAAGTACTTTAAATGATTATCAAATTTAGTTCAGTAGGGCGTTTGAATGAAACTATAATTTTGAGCTTATAAATCTGCATTCTAAGTAGAGATTGAATATTTTTGATAACTTTTTTTAATTAGACAATTTTATTTTTTATAAGGACAATTACCCCTTCTTAATAAAGTTACGGTTATTAAATATGATAATATCATATTAAAGAATACTATTATAAAATTAACAATAAAAGTGTTTAAAAAAAATTTGTTACCAAATAAATAAAAAAATAATTTAATTGTGAAAAGTACTTCTTATAATATGTCACCAAATATCTAACATATTTTTTACATATCGCAATTTTTTAACAGTTCTATTGATAAAAGCATTTCCTATTTCAACAATAATTTCAAAATATTTTTAAACTATTAAATAATATTATGTAACCCTCAATTGATACCCATGTCACGGCTCATAAAGTGTACGCTAACATTAAACCAGTACACGCACAGGATCACAATGAAAACATGTTGGGCTTGGTAGTTTTTATTGGAACGTTTGGACATTAAAACATGTTGTCAGATTTTACTTACCCCACCTAAAAACAAAATTGGTTGTCAGATTTCGCATTTGTAGCTTTCAACAAGTGGATAACATGTCAGATTTCAAAATTGGAGCTTTCAACAAGTCGTCATCAAAGTTATGGACAATGGGTCCCTTCTCACCTTCGCAGAAAGTCCCTTCAAACCTAAAATGCCAAAAATAATTCCTACTGCAAAGTTAATGTGAAGCTTAAGGTTTGATGTTTAGACACTGAAAAATTTTACATGATTCAGAATTATATAGTCATTTTCATGGGTAGATAAATGTGTTAAATTTATTTAAATTTTTACTTACCTATTGTATTATTTTGTTAGGCACATGCGTGATACGACTGTTCAATTCCTTCCTTCTATCAAATACTTATTTTACATTTTTAATTCAAAAGATTAAAATTTCATTAATTTAAATTAACCTGAATTAATACTTTAATATGTTTGCAAAAACCATATTTTCCAAATAGAGAAGGCATACCCAAAATCATACTAATTGTTGTCATGTCCTTACGTGGGGACCAATGGCTAACATGCCACTTTCTGCAACAAGGATTGTTCAGAAAATATGAGAATCGGGTCAATTTCGTTAGTGATACAAAAATGGATTAACTTTTTTAAATAATTTTAATAAATAGAGTAAGGAACGAAGTCAAAAAATAAGATGAGTAGAGTAAGAATGAATTTTTTTAATAATTTTAAAGGGGCAATAGTAATATTTTATGAATGTATAATTAAAAAAATTAAATTAACAAGGATAAATTACTATATATATATATATAGGAGGGGGGAGCAATTGCCCCTCCTAAAATACGTGTAAGCTTGGTCTGTGGATAGAGTCCAACATTGACTTTTGTTAACTTTTAATAAAAACAAATATTTAGTATTTATCTCAATCCATTATTAATTGTCACGTCAATATATTTTTATTATTGATAGGCAAATTGATTATTTTTCTTGATAAAGTCATTTGACTCTAAAGTCAATCAAAGTTTATATAAGATTAATGAAATTTATGTGGAAATGCGAAACTGTCAAAGGTAGTTCAAATAAATGTTTTTGTTAATGGCCTTAAATCCTCTGCCAGCCTCTTTTGGTGATGAGTGGACAACAAATGTTGACCTAGTTAGTTAGTCGGTATGAAGAAATGGTTAACCCAATTGACATTGTCATACACGAGCTAACATTAGTCTTAAACCTAGTTGACTTGGTTTTTACTTTTATCAAATATATATACATATATATATATATATGTATATATATATAATTATATATACATGTTAGGTACAAGAAAATTCTTAGAAAATACTTTTGCTTTGTCAACATCGAGAATACTAATTGAACACTTGACATTACATATCCCTTTTAAATGATTGAAGTGTTTAAATGTAAAATGAGAGTGATAATTTACCTGAATGACATCCTAATTTATGTGTGAATAGAATTAGATTCCAGAATTGGAATAATTGCATAAATTAATACTGTAAAAAAAAAAGTCTTCTTTAGTTCTTATCCTTTCAATACCCAATTAGCGTAGCTCACTCATTATTTTTTGAGGCTGACGTATTTAATGTTTTCACTTTTGAAATTCCAAAATTGACCCTCTTATATATAAAGATTTACAGAATATTTCAGATTTTGTAAATAATATGGGAAATACATAATTTTTGTATAAAATTTTTCAAAATTATACCTTTTATTTTGAGACACCCAAAAAGAGAAAGGGGGCATACTTATTAACTTTAATACAAGTCGAGAAAGAGCAAATCTAGTCACAAAATTTAATTTAGTGATACAGATCTCCTCCTGTATGCAACAAAATAAGTGTTATTAAATTTTTTTTTTTTTTTTTAGAAACATGGAACTTCCCTGGGCATGGTCCCTGAGTGACCCACCCCAAGCTACAAACTGATGATACTATAACCGGCCCCTCAACTACAGCACCGGTTAAATCAAGAAAATTGAAAGGCTTGATAGGAGTCGAACACTGACCAAGTAAATTCTAGCCCCGAACTCCTACCATCACTGTCAAACCTCCGGAAGCTAAGTGTTATTAATTTGGTACACGGTATAGAGCCGTAATATAATAACTACATTAAATTTTATATCTGTATGTTAAAATGATAGTGCACATATGATGGAATCCTCTTTCCATAAAGAAATGATTTAATTCTTGAAATTTTTTTTTTGATAGCCTTACTATCTAAAATGAGATTCGTTCATGTCAATTCCAAATGATGCTATACCTTTAATCTACCATATCTACCCTTTTAAACTCGATAATTTGACTTAATTAATTTGTTTCAAAAACAAATTCCTTTTAAATCAAGTTGGTAGGGTCAACAACTAGTTCCTTCCGCAAATTTTGCCCTAGTCTGGTCAGTTGGCTAATAAGTGGGTAAGCTCTCATTCTTTCATTCGATGATTGGTCCCCCCACTTGACCAAATATATTCCTCATCAAAACATTATTATTAACACAATCACCCAATCAAATGTCCATCTATTTGTCTGTTACGCACGTCTACTTTTTCACACAATACCATCTGCTACATCCACACATATATAGTGTATATACACACACATTCATCCAAATAAGAGAAATGTATGGATTTGGATCCAAATCCGGCAAATATAATCGACTCTTTTAATAAGAACTTCCAAGTGGACATAGTAACGTCCTTTAGGAAAATGACCAAATCAACCCTCAGACACCGACACCAATTATTCACCTCCTTCGTTTCTATTCTCATCATACAGATAAAGATCAATGGCAATTTCGTCAAAACATAACTTCTGCGCATGAGCTATAGTGGCTTTTTCTTTTTGGAAAATTTAAGCTATTGTGTGGCCTTAGCGTGAAAGCAAAGTCTAAAGTATATATTCTTATTACATTTATCAAGACAGAGACAGGTGTTTCTGAATTTAACGTTGGTGGAAGACATCATCAATGGTTTCTTCTTGGAACCTCCATCGTTTGTGAGCCGTTTCTGGGTCCAATTCATTTTTGGGGGTGTGTTTGTGTGCGTTTTTTGGGGTGTGTTTGTGTGTGTTTTGGGTTTGTCTCTGCAAGCAGTTCCTGGGCTCTGTTTGGAAGAGGGTTATGTGGGTTCAGAGGAGAGTGATGAGTTGGAGGAGAGTGGCGAAGTCTCTGCAGGCTGTGGTGGCTCATGGTTCGCTCTTCTCTTTCACCCTCTTTCTCGTTCTCAAGCTCGATTGTGCGGTGTCTTACTCTTGGTGGTTAGTAGTTTCTCTTGTTGCTTTTCTTTTTTCTCCGTTGTCAATGTGATTTTCTTTTCAACTGTTTGGTAGCCGAGAAAATGATAAAACAGATGGAAAATTTGGGTTCTTCGAACAAACATCCTAGAACCCAATGTTCCCAAAATTTTCTGTTTCAGTGTAAAATAGGTTAATGGTTTTAGTATCTCTATGAAATACCTTTTATTTTGGAGATGATGTGGATTGCTTAGAAATTCATTAATTGTTCTTTGTATTTATGTTAATTGATTGCCTGATTCTGGTACATTTGAAAACTAAGTGTTGTTTTTGCTTTGAAATTTTCTAAACGTTTAAAAATACATAAGCAAGTTCATTTTTTTTTTTTTAATTATTCAAATTTCCAGTTGCTTGTGTTTTGAAGTACTCTTTTTTTGGTTGTAGTGGGGTCATTTGAATCTAACAATTATATCTTTTATACCTCAGTTACTTGAGATAAAAATTCGGTTCTTTTTTGAAAATTAATTAAATCATGGTTGAGATGACATAATTCAGTGATTTTTAACCTTTTTAGCTGAAAACTTCTTAGAAAAAATGCCAAGAGTGTCAATCTCAATTCAGTAAAATTGTGATCGTCTATGGTAGAATTTGTACATAGGGGGACCATGCTAGCAATATATTGTCTATCTCTGTTCCTTAAATAAATTTAAATGTAGGTGCTAGTTGTTTCAACTAGTTCAGTCTTTCTATTATTGACATTTAAAACGGCGTGCTAGTCATTTCAACCTAGAAAGCACGGACGCTCCTCTGGGATGTGTCACGGCGATGTTGGATACATGTCTTGGACACAGCTACAGAGTGGCCTGGAGTTTGAATATCTTTTTTTTTTTGGTTGGACACGTTGGGAAACTTTTGGACGCAAAGAGATAGTTTTGCAATTAGTTTAGAAATACGGGGTTTCAATTTAATTTCAAAACATATTATGCGTTAACAGAAAAATAATATAAAATTTTAGGGGAAAAAAAAAGAAAACACTCATCCAGCCCTAAGCCCCAAATTAATGATTATATTCATGGTATTGTGGATGAAATGAGCAAAAATCGAACTTTTTGTATATGTGATTGTTAACAACCATTTACTCTAAAAGCTTAAACTGTAAGAGAGGGTGTAACTTAAATATATAAATCCTTATAAATCCTTCAACAGTGGTAATATATTATATCATTATTTTATTGTTGTAGCCTGGTGTATACTTGTTATATTTTTGGAGATTTGTTGTATCGCCGTGTCCGTTGCGTTTGTTACCTATGTCCCATATTTGTATCGGTGCTTCATAGATTCCAACTAATTCATTCTTGATGCTCTTCTCCCAGAGTATAATCCCATCATCTGCAAAATAATTCCAAGGTGACACTTGAATGGTAATATAAGTATTTCCATCGTTTAACACTTCCATTCACAGGGATATATGAATAGCGTTTCTATTTTATGCAGTTGCCCTAACTATGTGCTGTATATGAGCAGTAACAAGAGAATATCGTGTAATGTTAGTCACTCAGGAGGGCAGCAAATATTTTAGTTATTATCTGTAGAAACATTTTTTCCAATTTGATGCACTAATTTTGTCTTGTAGGAGTATGCGGGATGTAGTGTTAAACTTCCTTCCTCACTCAAATTTTAAATGGCTTTGCTTTTGGTTCAATTTGCAGGATTATTTTTGTACCCCTTTGGTTATTTCATGTGGTTGTAGCACGCGGCAGATTTTCCTTGCCTGCTCCATCAATGCCTCATGATCGCCAGGTATGACACATTATAATGTTTTACTTTTAATTATTATTTGTTTATGTGTCAATTTGTTATGTTGTTCTTGTGGAAATACAGAATTTGTTTCTGTATGCTATGATAATAATAACAAATTATGCACTCTTCCGTGGACAGTGGGCACCATTTCACGCCGTCATGGCGACGCCGTTGCTTCTTGCTTTTGAACTACTCGTTTGTGTGTATCTCGAGGGCAGTTATGGTATACAGGAAACACCCAACATCAACAAATATTATCAGACATTGCCCTGTTTTTTTTTTTTTTTGGTTATAATTCTTATTTTTATTTCTAATTTTGTTTATTGTTATTACAATTGAGAAGTTCAACAGCCAAATTGTTATTTGCTCCATGCTAAAAATCTTTATCTAATTTTATTCATTTGTAAACTTCATACAATGTTATGTGTGACTGTGCATTACTAAATGTCTTCATCTGCACTGGTCTTGGTCATTCTTCGAGTAATTAGAACTTTCCAACTCATTTCATTTATGAATTGTAATGTATTGCAGCTGTAAACTTGAAGATTGTCTTTTTGCCCTTGCTGGCACTTGAAACAGCAATTTTGATAGATAATGTCAGGTAACTTTCCTCTTTTGCAAGCAGATGGATCATATATTTTAGGTTTCAAAGCTGTGTAATATACTAAACCAAAATTTTAAGTAACAGCCAAGATACAAGCTATTCATGGTGTTAACTAGATAAGGCATCTCTTTTATGGTCATTACTTATAATTTATAATTTATAATTTTTTATTTAACTTCCATCATACACTTTCCAATTTATCTTGGCAAAATGTGTTTCATTCTTAGCAAGCAACATTTGTTTCTCATTTAGGATGTGTAGGGCTCTAATGCCTGGAGATGAAGAAATCATGAGTGATGAAGCAATATGGAGGACCCTTCCTGTAAGTTTGTAGTTGGTCGTACTTTGAATAAAGAATTGTTTTCAAAGAAGACGCAATCTGATTATTGTGGACCAAAAGATGCTTAAATGATCACTACCTAGGCAGGATATTGAGAACTTGGTTGGGGTGTGCAAGTACTGACCAGGAAACCAATTAACCAACTATGGTTTCTTACTGCACCCATATGTTAGACCATCACTTGACTTAGGCTGTTGCAGTTTGCTGCTCTCGCCATAGCGATTACTTTTAGTTGGTAGCTTATATTGCTCAAGTGCAATAAGATCGAAAAGGAGCAAGGATTAATATTTAAAGATAAAGAAAAGTATTAAAAAAATTAGAAAGTATCATTTAAAAAAAGAAAGGGGGGGGGGGGGGGGGGGGGCACAATTGCGGGGTCTGGGGAGGGTCAGATGTATGCAACCTTACCTCCACATGGAGAGGTTGTTACCGGTTTCGAACCTGTAACCTCCATATCACAATACAACAACCTTACTGTTGTGCCAATGCCCACTCTCAAAAACAAAAACAAAAATTATTAAATACGTAGGTCAAGTGGTCAACTATTTCCTGTTTGATACTTTTTATATTCTTGGAAAAATCAAATGATTAAATCTTGAAAATTCGGGCAAAGATTTTTGTATTTACCATGTTATTCGAATTGAACATTTATATGGTATCATTAAACAAAAAGCAAACATACCTAGAATAAAAATGATTGGTGCATTATATGTGAAGAGAATAATGTTCAAATTAGAAAAAAGAATCCCTAACCTTTCAAGCTCTTTAAAAGTCTACATTTGGGATATCTTGACAGAAATTTGCCTGCTATATTATACTCTGGGTTGTCTGACAGAATTTTATTTGATTTTAACGTTTTGATTGTCCAAGTTGTTCCATTAAGAGCTGCAAAGGACGGCACCAATTGGAAAGATAAAATCACTAAGGTCTAGTCAATGGTTTGTGGATCTTCCAATTATAATTTATCATTTCAAAATAGATGTATGCTCTAAAAAGAAGTCGAGGATAAGCTTGCATTCTAGAAGCGGTAGCTTCCTGCATATTTATTATTTCAAAATAGTTGTATGCTAAAAAGAAGTCAAGGATAAGCTTACATTCTAGAAGCGGTAGCTTCCTGCCTCCTTCATTCCTACTGCCTCCTTCGGAGGGAAGTTCCCTTCCCTTTTCTAAAATGCCTGATTGGTCTGGCTCAGCAAACGTACAATGTGGAGCTGCCTGCTGTTTGGCTGACCCTCTTTTCCCCATTTGGGTTGGGTTGACCCAGAAGTAACACAAGAAGGAATGGAACCACTGGAGAGTCATCTGCAGTTCACACTTGGGCAAAGACGACTAACTTTAATACCATGGTTGGACATAATTGATCATTGTTGGGGAATATTTTGTTATAAAAGTAACCCTAAACTGGATTTATGTCAGTATATTACAAGATGCTACGGGAAAAGATTCATTTCCCTTGTCTTCTTTTTTGTGCCTTATTTTTCTTTCTGGTCATTAGGTAGCATTGAAGTGTTTTTTAAAAATAATTTATTCTAAAATTGTTAGAAGGATAATGAAGTGAATTGAATCAATTTTTGGTTGAGAGATCTGTATCTGATGCTTCCTTTATTATTGCCTGGCTAAGAAATGATCATGTTTTCTAATTTTTACTCATGTCTGTTTGGAACTCCCTAGGGGATTGTTAGTGACTTGTTTCTTTGATATCTATATGTTATGAATACAAACTGTTGTCATTATTTAACCAAATTTGATTCTTAATGTTCCTTGACATTTGTTGATACAAAGTTGTCAATCTTTCCTTTCAGCACTTTTGGGTTGCAATCTCAATGGTGTTCTTCATTGCTGCAACAACGTTTACTCTTCTAAAGCTATGCGGTAATTTGTTTGTTGAGAAATATTGAAATAGCTCTTTCCTCTGTGATTAATTTTAACGAAGTATGCAGTTTTCTTTTTTCTTTTTTTCTTTTTTTTTCCTTGCTGTCATTTGTTAATTTGGAGAGACTTTTTTAATTCTCAGCGGGGTTATCTTTATTAATAAGAAAATTGTAGGATTCTTTTACTCTTCTTGTCCTGTCAAGTCGTGGATCAGAAAAAAAGTACACGCTTCTAGTCATTTGGCCCAATATCATGCTTGCTATGGGGGATATTTGTTTTTGGTCATAAATTTTTCTTCGATTAGGTACTCACTTTGGGTTAAGAACTAGTTCTATAGATCATATTGTTGATGGTGTTTAAGCTTCAAACTTTGCTCCAATTTCAACTTATGAAAGAATAGTATAAATTAGATTTTGAATACAAATAGATGGATTTTTATCTTACTGTCAATTTTACTTGGGAGTTGGTTTGCGAAAGGCGTCAATACACGCATTGGTTGCTCTTGATGTAGTGTTAGCAGGTGCCAAAATGTCAGTCTGTTTGTCTTTCCTTCTTTATGAGGTTGTTCTTGTTGATTGTGTCATTTAATCTTCAGGAGTTATTTAGGGAAAAACAAAAAATCTTCAGGAGTTCGTTATGTATCAAGATGCTCCTGTTGTGGTGTTGTACTTTGGATTCTCTGTTTCATAGATAAGATGGACTTCTTATAATGGCAGCATTCTAGGAATATTCTCTTCATAAATTACACCAACTCTGCAGATTTAATTGGTAACAAAGAGCTGATTTTCCAAAGCCTTAAAAAGCTCTTTTGTAGGCATTTTAAAAAGTGCAATTTTATCTCTTATTATTTAGGAACTTCTCCGGATCGATCAAGTCTCAGCGCCTTGGTCAAGTCATAACAGGCTCAGCCGAGTCCGAGACTGATACTCATCGATATAACAGTGGGAATCAGAATTTGGCCTCGACTTGGCCTCGTCTCATCCGAGTCCCTAGGGAATTGACCGAGTCCATCTGATGGTTTGCAAGGTCAATAAAATTTCACGACTGGTACAGATCTCGGACTCAGCCAAGTCCCTTGGGCATAGGCCTCGTCTTGTGTGACTCCCTAGGGAATTGACAGTCTATATGATGGTTTGCAAGGTATTATCGGGGTAATGTAACGGAATCGATATCTCAGAGGCCTTTGTTATTGCTTGTCTTGATTCTAATGACTGTCATTGTATTAGGATTCAGGAGTTACTTTCTCCTCTCTTTTTTCTCCTGTTACTTGTTCATCCTCATTCTCCTTTTCCCTAGTTTCTTCTCACTCACTCCATTTATAGTGTACTAGAGTATTCTCTAGCTTTTTCTCTATTCATTCAGGATACCAGTATTGCAGATAAAAATAGATCTCTTATAGTGATCATCTCCATTACTGTCTTTTGGTAAGCATACCTGTCATTATCTTTTATAATGTGTTATTCTTCCATTAGGAATTAGGGAATAAAGAGGGTGTTTCCCTTGGTGTTGGGAGAAGATAAATGAAATGGAGAATTGCTTTTGTAATATCATGAAACTGTCGCTTAGCTACCAAGTTGAAGATGATTCACCGGCTATCTATGGTATCAAATGTTGGGTGAAAGAATTATGTACAAAATAATATCATAGCCTAAACGAGGATGTTAAGATCGACTAGTCCATGTACAAAATAAAAAGGAATGAGTGCATACGTAAAAAGCTAGAGCTATCATTTATGATGAGAAGACGAGGAATAGAAGTCCGGATGGTTTTGTCATGTGCAACAAAAACAAAGGAATATGTAGTCATGTGCAATATGATTTGATTTTAAGGCACTTTTAGGACCGGAGGAAAGTCAACAAATGTACGGTTGAGGCTCTGACATAAGATATTATGTCATAAAGCAACACTACCAAGTTAGTATTAAAGCTTTGTGGAGTTGAGTTGGGACTTGAACTTTCTTGGACAATAGAGAGAATGGATTCTGATCAAGGATACAGTGGAAAATATGTAATGTAATAACAACTATGAATAGTTATACAAGTGCAAAAGCAGGTGTCAGTATCTGACAAGGAATTTTTCTGGTGCAGTGACTGCTAAAAATTCAAAGAGCAATATACCTATAAAAAAGAAGACCCAGAAAATGACAAAGGAGGAAAAAATAGGTATGTCCTTGTCATGAAGAATGTGAGCAATATTGAAGTGTTCAATGGGAGTGGCAGTGAAAATAAATCCTTATGCAGTCTTACTTGGACATTGTTTGGAGGTCCACTGGTCAGATGAAGCATTCATAAAATTCATCGACTAATCCTTGGGATGTTCTCTGTTTGATTTCGTTCGAAATCACAATATCTTTGGACATCTTGAAGAAGCACAATTTAATTGTATACACCTTAAGGAGAATTAATGGATACTCCACAGAAAAAGATCTGCATTTCCACATGAACTTGTGAAAATTGGATGTGGTTAAGAGCAATACTTATAAGGTGGCGTTTTTGAGTTCGGTTCCCCTCCTTTGAGGTCAGCCTCACTGGGATTTTTTTCTGGATTAAAATTGGCATATGGCATTGGTGCCTGCCATGTGTCTTGAGGGGATTAGTCTCACCCAAAGGGTGGGGACACCCCTCTAGTCACCAAAAAGAAAAAAGAACTTGTGAAAATTGGATGCATAGAAGGGGATAAGTTGAAAAGGATGTCAAAGAAACGTTTCAATGGAGAAAAAGATGGTATCTTTTTCGCTGCAAGCAAGTTTGCGACTTTCATTTTTTTTTTTTTTTTCATTATGAGCAATCTACATTTCTCGTCCAAACAATCTTTGTAAGTTTTTCTTTATTTGGAAATAAAAGGAGCTGGTACTTGATTAGAATCATCAATTCTTAAGGAATCAAATGTCTGTGTTGTTCAAACATGTGGTCTACCTCTAATAGGCACTGCTTTAAAATTTTCGCTTGCATATAGATGCGTATAAACAGGAATTGTATGTCCTTCCTAAATGCATTGTGATAATAGTTTCCTTTTTCTATTTTATTCCCACTAAATGTGCATTTATTACTTGGAAAATATTTATGCATGGTATTGTTTAGTCCTAGTTCGAAAGATGTACTTTTTCCACTTTTCTTCCAGTATTTATCAGGTATGTTCTGACTGTTTCTTCTTGCAATTATTTGCAGGTGATGTAGCTGCCCTTGGTTGGTGGGACTTGTTTATTAATTTTGGGTACACTCATTTGTGTTTGTAATCATCATGCATGATTGGTGGTTTTTCTTCTGCATCTTTGGCAGTTGAAATAATATTGCAACTCCTTCTACAGTATTGCAGAGTGCTTTGCCTTTCTTATTTGCACAAAGTGGTACAATCCTGCTATCCATAGACATTCTCACATTCGAGAACCTAGTTCATCTTCAACAAATATTAGATATCTTGACTGGAATAGTGGCTTAGTGGTTTCAACTGATGAAGATGAGTACCAGAGTCGAATATGCAGCTTGCAGAACATTGGTGGTCATTTTATGAAAATTCCATTCATTAGTTTTCAGATACTGCTTTTTATGCGCTTAGAGGTATAATGGGGTTTGGAAAGTGTCTTATTGTACATGCCTCCTGACGTTCTATAAAGTTGACTCATCCTTGTTCCTTTCTGATTTTAGGGAACACCTTCTGGTGCTAGACGCATTCCAATTCCGATTCTTTTTTTTCCTCTTCTCTTGCTGCAAGGAGCTGGGCTTTTGTTTGCCATATATAGATTTGTTGAGAAAATTATTCTGTTAATATTTAGTGGAGCTGGTTCAGCAAGATATTTTAGAATATCCTCGAGAGTGCGTGATTGTTTTAGTCTCATGCACCATGGGTCGAGGTAAGCTGTAACATTTGAATGAGCTATTATTGATCATCGCTAAGTTAACACAAACTCTGACAATAATTCAAGCACTTTTTAGAAATTTTGTTCAATATGGCTGTCTAATTATTACAGGTTGCTTGGTTGGTGGTCTATTGATGAAGGAAGTCGGGAGGAACAGGCTCGACTTTATCATGATGGGGCATCTGGGTCAGTGTATTTGTGTATTGGAATGAATTTAACTTAAACTGACACCCTACATGAAAATACTGAACGTTGGTTATCTATTTTAATTCTACTGTATTAGATCAATTTTAGGAGTGTAATAATTTCTTTGTTGAAATTCTGAAGTACGAATCCAATTTGGTTGATAACCACTTCATTTTACTGTGTCATTTCAAGTGGAAGATGTCAATGCTAGGAGACAATCTGTGCAAAATGCAACTATTAGGCGAATGACTTTCCGACTCCTAATTTTTCTTCTATAACACAATATATCCCAAGTTGGAAGACTAGAAATTTTTGTATTTTGTGTTAATCGAAGAATTTGATTCTGTAATACTCCCTGCAGTGGCAAAGGTTGTAATTCTGCCATCTCAGAAAACTCAACTTGATTCTTATAGGCCCTGAGACACTGAGCCATTCACATGGCTTTATGCCAATTCCATCACCCTGCCTCATGCTGATACACAGTTCATTCCCTGTGTATCTCTAGGGCCAATTGAATATGGACTGCAAGAGCAGATGTGCTCTCTGGGGAATTTTTATTTCCATTGATTTAGTAAATTCGATATATTGGAATCGCAGTAGTAATCTTCACCATAAATCCATTGATATTTGGCATTTTTAAATAGGGTGTTTTAGATTAAGGATTGCCCATCTGAATTTTGTTTGAATCTATCAATATACGCATACTCTCTTGATGCTTCATAGTAGCTGCTGTTACAAATCTAATGCTGTATGCATTTTCTGTTATTTATATAGTCTCAAACTAATATGTCGGAGATTCTTGGTTTGCTGATCTTATTATGATTCTTACCAATCAGGTACAACACCTTTTCACCTGATGCTGTGAAGAAAATGCCTAAATCAGATCTAGCTGAGGAGGTGAATACAATATCTTTTGTCATTCCATCAATATTTTTTAAGTTCTAGCTTATGCTTTCCCCCCATCCTCATGTTTCAGCAACTTTTTAGGGTCAATGTAATCATTTGACTAATCCAAAGTTATTTTATGCTATGTTGCTGCCTAAGAATATCAATTACTTTCTTCAGATTTGGAGACTACGAGCAGCGATTAGTGAGCAAAAGGAGATTGCAAATTTTAGCGAGCTGGAGTATGAAAGACTACAAAATGTAAATTCTACAACTTTGACTGAATGTCTTCTGCATTGGGAAAAGTGGATTTATTAGCTTCTAGTCATAAGAATTTATCTTTACCAGTGCAAAAATGTCCTCTAGTTCATTACAAGTAGTTCAACTGGTTATCAAGAATTACAATTCCCAAGTGCATTGTCCAGTGCCACATCATAGCAACTGAGTGATGTTACCTGGTTCAGTGTTTCAATGATTAAGCATCAGTGCCACTGGCGTGAGTTGGAGCCTAAGAGCAGTCACTTTATGAAAATACCAAAATTAGGTTTGTCTCGATCCCTCCCTCCCAAAGAGGCTAGGACCCTGTTGTGGCAAGACTAGAACTGGGTAATGTCCTTTTAAGTGCTTTGTTCAGTGCCTTCCATCTGTCCAACTTAGACTGTAAATTGATAGTAGGGAACCACGAATAAGATGAATGGTCTGTCCTTGAAACAATTAATTTGGCTGTGTATTTTGGATTGCAATCCTAATATATGCATATTACTATTGACATTTCAAAAACACTTGCGCAACACAAGTGGAGTTGTCCAAATCAATGGCCCTAGTTTATTGCTTGTGTTACCTTATTTATATTTTTCAATAGCATTTTCATGCAAAACAAATGCATGTTCTTGAAGTAGTGTTTTCTTTGGTCTCAAATAGTAGTGTTTTATTTTTCTCTTTTTTGTCGTCCTCGTTGGCAGCAAATAAGTAGTTTAGGTTGTAAATTAGGCTGCATTATTGAAGCTTGAGGAAGACAATCAGCAGTTTTACGATTAGAACTTAGTGTTGGCAAATTGCGTAACAAAAGCAGGAGTCTGTATTTTTATTTTTAAATTTCAAAAGTTAGTTTAGTTAGTTAGTCAGTGGCGGTATCTATGTCCAAGAGAAAAGTCAAAATTTGAAGATACATCAAAGGGCAAAAAGGTAAAATCACCTCTTGAATAAGTGAATAACTAATTCACCAATTAGGGTTCATAATCATACATTCTCATTTACGGCACAATGCATACATGTTTTGATTCATGAAAAAGATATGCTGAATGCATTAAGTTTTTTTTCAATAAATATATTTAAACAGGAATTGTTAACAAAATTTTTACTTATCTGGGAAAAGTTTTGAGTCTTCTATATTAGGAGTGTAATTAGGGGAGTATTGGGGTAGAGGCTGTCACCAATAATGCTCAAGGAAATATTTTTGGTGTCACTTATTGAAGTTCTACAGTTATACAACTTATACTACTTGAGATTTGGAATAAATCTTGTGGGAAATTAACTGGACTCCCCTCAATTGTTGTGCAAGGCAATATGAGATGATATTATTTTCACTAAAAATACCATTGAACTTTTGTATGCAGACACCTTTGTTTTGACTTTCAATATATATAGCTTTTTAAAATCTCATTTTGCAAAAGATAGAGAGACAATATCTTGTGCTCCTAACCTCACGGGTTGTGAGAATTATTGTTATGGGTTAGGATTTACTCATGTTTTGAGAGGTTTGTTGCACTCAGAAAAAACTTCTTGGCACTTAAGGAAGTACACGGAACAAAATGTTCCATCTGTATGCTTATTCCTGTTTCTGATGTTAAGAGTCTACTATAGCTCTCACATACCGATTTGCTGTTTTTTTCAGGAAAAGATCCTGTGTAGGATTTGCTTTGAAGAACAGATAAACATAGTTTTGATCCCTTGTAGGCATCACATCCTTTGCAGGTATTTGCATCTCGTCTTGTGCTACCAACATATTTCTTTTCCCGTGTCTATATATATATTTTTTCAAATATATTTGTTCATTTATTTCACTCGACTTGAGCAATTCAAATTTTTTTAGACTGCAAATTCTGCTAGATTGTTGCCCCTCTTACCTAAATAAAGGAAAAAGAAAAAAGAGTGAGTCTGCTGAATAAGTTTTTTCAAAGCAAAATGTTTTCCGGTAGTTTCATAGGCAGTCTTTTACTTGAAAGTATGTGGATTTTCTTCGCGCTCCTCAGATAAGAAAATTTATGTTTCTTTTTTTTTTTTTTTTCCCACGATATCACTGTACCGTTTTTGCAACTCATGTACATGTCTCAGTCAACTTCCAATGAGCGCACATATTCACTCTATTTACCATCTTCTTTCTATGTGCAAAAGGAGCCTCACTTGTTCTGACCATTATTCTTTCTTGTGCCCCTCAGCACCTGCTGTGAGAAGTGTAAAAGGTGCCCCATTTGCCGTGTCTCCATCGAAGAACAGCTGCTTGTACATGATGTATAGTCTAAATCATCGATTGACTTTTCACAAATCGCTGAAATCAATAGCTTCTTCCAAAATCCTTATTTGTTGGTAATGACTGTAAGTGAAGCAAGCATTGATTAGATGGAAAATGCAGCTTCCATGTCATGTCCGTATAGCAATATCTAGTCAAAAATTGTACATATACACTATTGTACCATTTCATCAAAGTAGCAGATGCCTTGTATGTTTTGATTCCTTCTAAAATCTTGGTGTAAATGAAGAGGATTGAGATGGAATGTAATTTGGTTTTTTGGCATTAGTCTCCAAAATGCAGGTTTCTAAAATCAAAGTCAAAAGCAACAAAATCAAATTGAGCTTCTTTATATGTTTGGGGTGTCACTTGTTATTTTAATTTTATTATTTCAATTTAACTTTTTATTTTTAGGGTGGTCTGGGGGCCTAAGCAATTTGTTGGGAGGTTTAGACTAGAGAAAAACTTATGCTATGTTTGGTATAGTGGAAGAAAAAAAGAATGGATAACGTTATGAGAAAAAAAGAAAAAAAATTAATAAAAGAAAATAAAGAAAAGGATAGTGTTGTAATCATGTTTAGGTAAAAAAAAGAAATGGAATTATTTTAATGAATTTATCAACATATTATTTTTCATAGATTTTGTCTTATGTAAAAATAAGGGGGAATTTGGTATTAATAAAATTTCATTAAAAATACTAATCTTTCTGAAAGGGTAAATTTGACTTTCCATTTCTCACCAAAGCGACACGTGTCACCCAATTGATATGGGGGCTTATGTCAGCCCGATTGACCCATATGGAGATCCACCAGCTCGAAGTCCAGCCTGATACAGCCCAGCCCATGTGTAAAAGAGGCCCAAATATGGTACAATTAGGTAAAGACGAATGATGTATAAATAGGGTAGGGAAGGAAAGAAGAGGCATAGTGTTTGGTGTAAAGAGAAAATAACCATCAATAGAAAGAGAATTTTCTCACATCTACACTTTCCTTTCATTTTTTAGAAAACAAAACTTTAATGTATTACCTAAAATTTTCCATTCTCTTCTAAATTTTTATACCAAACATAGGAAACTATATCTCTTTCATTTCTTTCTTTTCTTTTCCTTTCATTTCTTTCCAACAAAATTGGGCCTTAATCTTAATATCATTATAAAAAAAGTCACAATGGGGACAACAATAACTTCTTGAATTGGAAATAGCTCCAAATGTTCAATGTTGATTTCAATTGTGGAATTCCCATCCTCGTTTTGAGAAGACACAAGAGAAGTGTAAAGCAATGCTAGTCATAGGGTTGCAGTTGAGTTTTTCTGTTACATGTTTGGGAATTTAACGAGTTCGGCTCATTTACTAAACAAGTTTGAAATGTTGTTGAAGTCTAAACTTTTTACTTAATAAATATACTAGAGTTGATTCTTACTAAGTCGAGCTCGAACTATTCATGAATTTGTTCAATTACAATTCTAAATATTATTGTTTTACATTTCTAAACATTAATTCGTTAAGCATTGCTTGTATTCTTCGTGCCACATTCGAAGCTTTGGAATTAAGATAGGGATCCGTAGTTAGAGCCTCATCATTGGGCCATCCTGGTTCGGCCCATTGCCTTCTAGGGGGCTGACCATCGAGTCAGGCAGTGAAGACCAATTGGCCTTGGCCCAAATGTGAACCAGCTAGCCAGGCCTACGGCCCAACACATTTGGGCTCTGCGATGTCCACTTTGATCATGAGTTCCTAGAAGTTAGACAGCTCCTTCTGAGAAACGTCAAGCATTTTGAGAAGATGTTGAAGGTAACCACTGAATTAATTTTTAAGGATGTTAGGACCCCGACCCACCATCACCAAAAGATCGAGAAGACATTGTTAATAAGAAGGAAAGGAAGGGTAAAAAACGGAGTGGAAGAAAGTCATCTAAGAAGTTTCGTTGAACCTTGTAACCATTTGGTGTGTGTGTGTGTATATATATATATATATATATATATTACTCCCTTAAATATCTAGGTCAAGTGGTCAACTATTTCCTGTTTGACAGAAATTTGCCTGCTTTATTATAGTCGGTTGTCTGACAGAATTTTATTTGATTTTAACGTTTTGATTGTCCAAATTGTTACACGCAGCAATTTGGAAAGATAAAATCACTAAAAATATGTCAGAAATAAGAAGAAAAAAAAAAAAAAAAAAAAAGATAAAAATTAAAATAAGAATATAGAAAGTTTTACAAATTTTGAAAAAAAAACGTGAATGAGGAGTTGAGAAAGACGGAAAGAAAAAAGAGGTAAGATAAATATATAAATCTTTTGGTCCTGTTAAATCTCTATTGATTACTAATAATGGATACAAATAAAAATTTTAAGGAGGTTATAATATAAGAAAATAAAAAAAAAATTGAGGCCTTTTTATTGGGCAGTTTAATAATAAAAAGAAAATAACATTTTTAAGAAGATTATAATATAAATAAATAATTTTTTTTAAAAAATTATAATGTAAAAAAATATAAATTTTGGGATCTTTATATTATTAGTTAGACTGATAATAAGAAGGAAATAATTTTTTTTTAAAAAATATAATATAAAGAAATAAAAAAAAAATTAAAACCTTTCTATTAATTGGGTCTTACACAACCACCTAAGTCGTTTAAAGATTCAGCCGCCTCCGTGACATTGCTATTTTCAATTAAAGTCCAAGTTCAATAAATTGAATGTTGCGTTGGACAAAATGGGGGTGCTTTTTAAGAATCTTTGGTGTACAGCACGTAATCGAACGTTGACCGCGTCAATAAAGTGCTCATCACACCTTAAGATAAAATTAACAAAGAAATTCTTTGTGGCAGTTGACAAAAAATAATAAAACTATAAGATTGTCTACGCCTTCCTATTATTGAAAGTGTCATGTTATAATTGGACAGTTAATAATACTTTATATACAATTCAAATATTTGAAAATTAATAACTTAATATTTTTATAAAATCAAATACTTCAACTGTATTTTTTAAAGTTGCTCTTAAGATTTGTACCTCTAAAAATGACTTATAACTCTCACAATGATTATGTCCTATCGATATCACAAATCATGTCATATTGTAAGAGATCATGTAACGTTATTTTAGAAAATGTAATAGTTGATTATATTCATGAGTTAAAAATTTAGTTATGTGAACTAGGCTTAACGAAGTCTATCATGTATGCACATGAGCTCAAAAATAATATAATAGTAAAATAAGTTTATGAGTTCAAATATTAAAAAAAAATCTTTTTTTCTTTTAAAGGGAAGAAATTGAAATAAATTATTGTACAACACATTAATTGATATTAGAAGTACGTGTATTTAGTGTCATAAATATTTTTAAAAAAAATTATTTATTATCATAAATGTATATGATATATAAGTACATATTAACATTTTCGCTTCATTTTCAAGAGTTTAAAAAGATAAAATGAGAGGAAGAATGCACGGTGCCTAAAAGACTAAGGCCCTGTTTGGCGTGGCTTCTTGGGTGCCTGAAACGGGCTTCCAAACCCAAAAGTCCGTTTTGAAAAAAATAGAGTGTTTGGCGTAAAATGTAAAATGGACTTCTAAGAAAAGTGAAAGTTCCTAAAATGGACTTCTAAGAAAAGTGAAAGTCCCAGAAAGCCCATTCTGGAGAAGCCTACAAAACTTGCTTTTAAATTCACGTTTCCGAAGTCAAGTGAAACTTTTTAAGTAACATATTTCATTGACGATTTTACCCCAATATATTTCCTAAAGTAGTCGATCATATCTCACTCGAAGAAGGAAGAGTTGTAGAGAACCATGTTTTTAATCTCAGGTTCATATTTCTGATAGAATATTTTCTTACTCGCTTATTCACCGTAGATTAGTTGCTCATTGATGTAGCAGAATTTTTTCTGGGTCATCTCAATACCCAAAAACCAATAAGACGCCAATTGTCGGAAAACGGAACATGGACATCATTGGAGACGCCGGAAGTTGAATAAATTGATCGAGCATCGATTCCAGCGCTTGCGAAGCATGGAAGCTGCCAGCAAACGATGCCGGAGACCTCCATGTTCGGTGCTTTCCGGTGTAGATTGGGAGCCAAATCAAATTACACCAAAACCGACTAAGTTTCACCCCTATTTTGCCATCACCGATAAACCGCCATAGTCGCACCACCACTACCGCTCAGCCACTGTCGCGCCAACACTACCGCTCAGCCACTATCGCGCCAACATTACCGAACTCTCTAAGCAATCTTTCTAAGCAAGGTCTCTCTCCACAGTACTAAAAGAATTCTAATGAGTCAGGCAGAAAATTATTCAAAGTTATGGTTGTGAAATTAGGGGAGAAGCACATAGATAATAAATGCACTGGGCTATCCTCCAATTCTATATATTAATTGTTCTTCATCCAATTCCACCACTGCCCTATTCTTTCTTTTTCTTTTTTTCCGATTCGGATCAATGTTTCAGTATGGTCCTCTCAATCTTGAATTTTGTGGACAAACGAAGTGATTTGTAGGGTAGAAATTCACTCCTATATATTTAGCAAATATCTTAGCAATTTCAATTTTAATGGGATTCTAATTCTCTAAACACAGCAGACATATATATTTCTATTTATCTCATTCAATTTACATTAAATAGTCTACTGGGTTATACCTGAATTTCAGGGATTTGAATAGGCTCTTAAGAGCTTTGGACATCAAAATTTCAATTTATTAGAATATTTTTTTCCACTAAAAAACATCTTTTTTAAAATAGCAACATATATCATATATATATTCCCAAAAGCTAACATGGTTACTGCAATTAAAGATTAATATGATTCAGTATTATGTCAAATGCAGGTAAATATTATAAGGGTATTTATGTAAATTTGTAATTATTTAATAGCATAAGGACTTTGTAATCAAACGCATATCACGTGAGTAAAATGATTTTTTTTAAGATAAATGAACATTTTAAAAGTAAGTCAACCAAACACCTTTTGATTCCCAAATTTTTTCATACAAGGTGATTTTTGTAAGTTCGTTACAGTGAAAGAACTTTTCACATCAGGAAACTCCTCCAAACATGGCCTAAATTATTTTGTTCAATAAAGTCGGTACTCATTGGAGCTTCTGACTGTGAGAAATATAGTCATAGGTCCAACCCGTGATAGGAATCTCCAATCAGCATTAGTCTCTTACCAATATGTACTGAATGATAGAAAATAAGCATTACTACATCAATGAATGACATTTCATAGTGCCAATGCCAAGTGTTGACCAAAATGGTGTAATTCGACCATATATTGTAGTATTACTATTT